GAATTTACTTATAAAAATTGTTTATTTATTTTACATGTTTAAACTTCAGTGACCTTCAAAGTATTCTCCATTTGATGCAATACACCTATCGAGACATTTCCGACTGCTCAAAACAGTTTTTGAACTCATCATTTTTAATGTCTTTTAGTGTTTCTGCCATTTTTTGTTTCACCTCTTCCACATCAGCAAAATGTTTTCCTTTGAGGATTTTTTCATCCAAAGAAACAAAAAAAGTGTCACTCAGAGGAATATCAGGTGAATGGGGAAGGTGGGGCAAGGGTGTCGTACAATTTTTGGTCAAAAACTGCTGAACACTCACCGTGATGTGGGCACGTGTGCCGGTAAATCACCCATCATGAAATGGGCAAACGCACTTAAAGAGTCTTAAAAAAAAAAAAAGAAAATCACTGAAGCCAAATGTGCCTCTCACATCAACGTCAGCTGGCACACTGATTCAGGTGGTTCCTAGAACACTGTACTACAAGGGGCCCGCCCTCCAGAAGATAATTCCATTTTTTGGTCGGTGGTGGGGGGGTCCCCTCTTGTATATGGTCAAATAATTTTTGACAAGGCTGCTAAGACCATTCAAAGGGGAAAGAATAGTTTTAAAAAAAATGGTGCTGGAAAACTAGCTTTCCAAATGCAAAACAGTGAAATAGGACCCTTATCTAACATTATGAAAAAAATTAAAACATATCAAAGACCTAAATGTAAGACCTAAAACTATAAAGCCCTTAGAATAAAACAAAAAAACTACACAGCACTGGATTCATGAGGTTTCTTGAATATGACACTAAAGGTACAGGCAACAAAAGAAAAAAACAGGTTAGTTGGACTTCACGAAAATTTAAAAACTTGTGCACTGACAGAAAACATCAAGAGTAAAATGGCAACCAAATAATGGGAGGAATATTTGCAAATCATATACCTGATAAGGCAGTAATATCCAGAATACATAGAAAACTCCTAATATTCAACAACAAAAACAATTCAAAATGCACAAAGAACTTCAATAGACATTTTTCTTAAGATAAACAAATGGTCACTAAGCACATGAAAAGAAATCCGTGAGCCAGAAGACATGTCAACAGAAATCTCCCATACTAAAAATCAAAGAGAAAAAGGAATGAAGCATGGAACAAAATACCTAAGAAGTGTGGGACAATTACAAAAGATGTAACATACACATAATGGGAATACCAGAAGAAGAAAAAGGAAACAGAACATTTGTGATACATTTGTTGTAATTAATAAGCTAATACTGATACAGTATTATTAACTAAAGTCTATACAGTTCACATTAGGGTACACTCTGTGCGTTGTACAGTTCCATGGGTTTTGACAAATGCTTACTGCCATCTATCCACCATTATAGTACCATACAGAAGAGTTCCACTGCCCTAAAAATGCCCTGTGCCCCACCTAGTCATTCCCCCTTTGCACTCTCCAAAACCCCAGCAACTACATTTTTTTTTTTTGGCACTGTCTCTATAGTTTTGCTTTTTCTAGAATGTCAGATAGTTGGAACCATACAGTATGTAGCCTTTTCAGGCTGGCTTCTTGCACTTAGCAATATGCATTTAAGGGTTCCTCCACGTCTTCTCATAGCTTGATAGTTCATTTATTTTTTTATCTCTGAATAACACTCCATTGTCTGATGTACCTCAGTGTTTATCCAAGCATTTCTGAAAAACATCTTGGTTACCTCTAAATTTTGACAATCAACTCACCTGTGTAAATATCAAAGAACACAACTCCTTGGTAGTAACACTATGTTTAGTTTTGTAAGAAACTGCCAAACTGTCTTCCAAAGTAGTTATAGCATTCTGCATTGCTACCAGGAACAAATAAACAGCTTTCTGTTAGGATCTGTTTTGCAAACATTTTCTCCTGGCCTGTAGCTTGCCTTTTCATTTTCTCAGTGGTGTCATTTGAAAAGGAAAAGTTTTTAATTTTGATAAAATCTCATTTATCAAATTTTTCATTAAGTTTCATGCTTTTTTATATCTTACCTAAAAACTTTCTCCTTACCTCAGAGTCACAGAGTTCTTATGTGTTCTTTCAGTTTTATAGTCTTAGCTCTTAGTTTTTAGATCTAAGATCTATTTTGAGCTAATTTTTGTATACAGGGTGAAGAAAAAGTTGACATTCATTTTTTTGCATATAAATATTCTATTGTTCCAGCAACATTCACCAAAAATACTGTATTATCATTTTGTCATTGACTTATCATGACACTATTAACAAAAATCAGCTAACTATGTATGTGTAGGTCTCTTTCTGGACTCCATTCCATGCCACTGACCTATATGCTGAAACTACACTGTCTTCAATACTGTAGGGTGATAGTAATCCTTGAAATCAGGTTGTGGGAGATAAAACATTTTGAACTGTGCTGTTCTTCACAGTTGTGTTTGCTAGCCTATGTTAAAAATTTTAATATCATCTTCTCAACCTGAAATTCGGATGGGGATTATACTGAACTTATAGCTCAATTTGCAGGGAATTAATATATTAAGAACATTAAGCCTTCAATCCTTCATTTATGTATGTATGTACAGACATACTTTGTTTTACTGCACCTTGCTTAATACATGACAATGCACCTGGTCACCCCCGAGCTCTGACAAAGACGTACAATGAAATTAATGTTGTTTCTGTGCCTGCTAACACAACATCCATTCTGCAGCCCATAGATCAAGCAGTAATTTGATTTTCAAGTCTTACTATATAAAGAAATACATTTCACCAGGCTATAGCTGCCATAGATAGTGATTCCTCCATTGGATCTGGGCAAAGTAAATTGAAAACCTTCTGGAAAGGATTCATTATTCTAGATGCAATTAAGAACAGTTGTGTCATGGGAAAAAGTAAAATAGCAACATTAACAGGAGGTCAGAAGTCAATTTCAACTATTAGGATGGTTTTCAGGGGTTAAAGACTTCAGTGGAGGAAGTAACTGCAGATGTGATGGAAAACAGAAAAATAACTAAAATTAGCAGTAGAGTCTAAAGATGTGATTGAATTGCTCCAATTTCACAATAAAACTTTAGCAGATAAGAGTTGCTACTTATGGATAAGCAAAGAAAGTGGTTTTGAGATGAAATCTACTCGTGGTAGAGGACTTGGAATATGATATAAACTTAGTTGATAAAGCAGTGGCAGGGTTTGAGATGACTGACTGCAGTTGTGAAAGAAGTCCGACTAGGAGTAACTACTTCACCGCCCCGCCCTCTCCCTCTTTAATTTTCCCTAAATGTTTCTTGCTTTAAAGAACCTGTGCCATGTGCCCTTTTCTGACCACCTTTTCACATAGCCATTTGTCATTGCCAGAATGTTAATTTTACCTGCTCTTATGATCATTTTTTTAGCCACTTGTTTTTTCCTAAGACTTCTGAAAGATCATACCTTTTACAAAGCTTTCCATTGGTAAGAGCAAATTAATGATGTAGATTATTTTATTCACAAACTTAATCATTATAAGATCACATGATATAAGTAGAAAGTAATTCACTTGCAGATTGCCCAACTGGAATTTTTATTTTAGTCATTTCTGATTGCAGTGTTTCCAAAGTTTATTAGGTGGTCCTTTACTTTAATAATGGCATAAAGGGCACGGTTTACTTTCAGATTCAAGATTTTGTCATAAATATCAACCACTGTATTATGTTGTGAAAAAAATAATAGCTTCGGGGTCGGTTGAAATTCACAGGGGCTCTTTAAGCCTGTATTACATGGCTCGCTCTGAGCTCTTATTGGTACTTTAAAAATAGATTTTTATTCTTCCCTTGATGTTATACTGTTAGTTGTCGATTTTTCTTGTCAATGTATCCCTTAAACCCATCCCCATGTTCATTTAATTTATAGCTTTTGATTTGTAGATTTAGAAACGAGACAATACTATGAAAGGCACGGTTTGAGAGGACTGACTTCAACTTTGAAAGAAATTCCACTGTGAGCAAAGTGCTATCAAAGAGCATTGCCTGCTGCAGAGAAAGCATTCATGAAAGGAAGAGTGGATTGATTAGCAAAATTCACTGTTGTGTTATTTTAAGAAATTGCTAAAGCTACCCCAACCTTCAGCGACCACTATCCAGATCAGCGGGCAGCGATCAACGGAGAGGTAAGACCCTCCACCAGCAAAATGATTTTGACTCATTGAAGGCTTAGGTGATGGTTATTATTTTTTTTTTAGCAATAAGGTATTTTTTAAATTAAGGTATGTACATTTTTTTTAAGACATAATGCTGTTGCACACCCAACAGACTACACTATAGTGTAAACATATCTTTTATATGCTCTGGAAAACCAAAAATGTTGTGATTCGCTTTGTTGCAGTGGTCTTGAACCAAACCCATAATTATCTCCAAGGTATGCCTGTGAAACAAGCCAGTCAGAGAAAGACCAACACCATATGATTTAACTCATGTGTGGAATCTAATGAACAAACTGAACTAATCAGGAAAATAGAGACAGGCTCGTAGATAGAGAGCAAGCTGACAGCTCTGGGTTTGGGAGCGGGGGTCGGGGGGAGGTTAGGGGAGGAGGGACCGAGCTAAAAGGAAAAAGGACTCATGGACATGGACAACAGAGTCATGATTATGGGGGGAGGATGTATAAGGGGATTAAATGTTAATGGAAAAAATAAAATAAGATAAAAATAACCAAAAATTAATCCATCAATCAGTACCTTGCTGTTGTTGAAAATGGAGATAGGACCAGGATCTTTTTCACAGGTCTCATTATAACATGACTGTTCAGTTATGACTTCCCTAAAATATTAAATGTGTTAGGCTAAAACTAAGGATCATTTCATCCTATGTTTAAAGTCAGCACAGAAAAGGCATAAAGTAGTCCAATTTTGATGGATACGAAGATTTCATTATGTGATAAGTATTATTTGCTAACTAAGCCAAAGTTCTGAAACAGTAATATCCGAAAAGACCTCTGCAAAAGAAATTTAAAAATAATTTAGTAATCTTATGAATAAACCAATATACCTTAGCAAGTGATTTTACAATAGGATTCTCCATAATCCCCTTGAGGAAAATTAGGTCTATTTCTTCTGCTCCCGTAGAGGAGGGCAGCTCCGTAAGGTTATCCAACACTTGCTGCATTGCTGCTGAGATAAAAGCAATATATTAAAAAAAGAAAGAAAAAAAACTTTGGTGAGCACACAATACAATATAAAGATGATGTAAATATTATAGAATTGTACCCTTGAAACATGTAATGTTGTTAACCAATGTCACCCCAATAAATTTTCTAAAGTGTTAAGTTCGAAGCCATTATGATGTACGATTATAAAATAATTCAAATTAAAAGGCATTAACAATTAACACTCCTTGAAAAATCAACATTTTAAAAACATGAGTTGTTAAATAGTATAAATTTCAAATTGATTCCCCATGAATTAGTAGCAGGACAGGTTTTTATATGCAATTTGGGCTTTATCAGGCTACCTTATACATCCTTATAATCTTATGCTTACTTTATATCTTCAAACTGAAAAATATTACTTAGGAAGAAGTATTAAATTTTAATAGAGGCATAAAAAAGTATAGGGATTGATATAGTAATCAAGAAACTTCCCACAAGTCCAGAACCAGATGGCTTCACCGGTGAATTCTATCAAACATTAAAGAATTAAAACCAATACTTCACAAATTCTTCCAAACAAAAAAAAGGAGAGGAGGAAACACTTTCCAATTATTTTATGAGACCCGGATACCAAATCCAGACAAAAACATCACAAGAAAATTATAGCCAATATCCTTTATAAATGAAAATGCAAAAATATGTAATAAAAGACTGGCAGAGTAGATCCAGCAACATATGGAAAGGATTGTACACAATGACCAATACAATTTATCCCAGTAATGCAAGGGTGTTCAAAAACATGGAAGTCTATCAATGTAATACACATTATTGATAGGACAAAGAATGATACCTAAATAGACACAGAAAAAACATTTGACAAAATCCAATATCCCTTGAAAATAAAAACATTAACAAATACAAGGGAAATGTCTTCAATTTGATAAAGGAGATCTATAAAAATTTCCATAGCTTACATCATACTTAATGGTGAAAAAATGAATGATTTCCCCTAAGATCAGGAACAAGGCAAGGAAGTCTACTCTTGCCACTTCTACTCAACACTGAATTTCTAGCTGGGGAGTTAGGAAGGAAAAAGAAATAAAAGGTATCAAGACTGGAAAGGAATAAGTAAAGCTATTTATTTTTTTTGGTAGATGACAAGTATATAGGAAATCCTAAAGAATATACAAATAAATTTATTAGGACTAATAAGTGAGTTCAGCAAGTTTATAGAATATGAGATCAAAATGCAAAAATCAACTGTGTTTCCATACACTAACAATGAACAATCTGAAAATGAAATTAAGAAAACCATTCCTTTTATGACAGTATCAAAAATAAAACAATCAGAAATTAGGAATAATGTAACAAAAGAAGAGCAAGGTTTGTACATTGGAACTATAAAACAACATTGAAAGAATTAAAGGAGACAAATAATAGAAAGATATCCCATTTCTAGATGGCAATATACATAAAATTGAGCCACAGATCTAATGTAGTCCCTGCCACTATCTCAGCTGCCTCCTCTTTCTTCTTGTTGTTTTTGCAGAAGTTGATAAAGTAATCTTAAAATTCACATGAGAAATGCAGAGGAAACAGAATAGCCAAACAATTTTCAAAAAGAACAAAGCTGGAAGATCCAGGCTTAATTTCAAATCTGACTGGAGAGCTACAGTAAGCAAGAGTGGCATAAAGAGAGACATATAACTAAATGAGAGTCCAGAAATAAATCCATACATTTATAGTCTATTGATTTTCAACAAGGGTGAGAAGACAATTTAATGGAAGAAAGAACAGTATTTTCAACAAATGGTATTTGGACAAATGAATATGCATATGTAAGAGATATGCATTCCATATCGGTCTTCATTCCACATCAGTTTTGATTTTATCCATATTAATTTCATTAGTTTTATCTGCTCTCCATATTTCTCTAGAATAAGTCTACTAATATTGTAGTTGCTAATTTTTAATATTTTTTATTTTTATTAAAATAAAACATAAACACTGTTTAAAGTCAGACTGTATCACTAAGAGCCTATAATGAAATATAGCAGCTCTCTGTTCCACAGTATCCTACCCTCTCCCAGCTCTCCCCACCTCTCCGGAAGAAACTACTTTGAATTTAAGTTTCTTCTCATCATGTCTGTATTTCTGAATATATGCTAATGTTGCTACTTTTTAATTTATCCACTCAGACATTATTTATTTTGATAGAATACTAGACAGTTAAGCTTTTACCTTCCCCTATCTCCACGCTGGCAATTTTCTTCTTTATATAATCAACAGTAGGTGCTTTTCATATGGGACTCCTACAAGTTTTTTCCCAAATGTTCCAACAAACTTTTCAAAGTTCTAGCAGTAATTTTTCCAAATGCTTAAATAATTTTATAATACTCTATCAGACCTATTCCCTGGCTTCTACCCTTCAATTCCCACCCAAAGTATTCTTTCCCTGTACCTTAAGTCTTGAGAAAAAGGCTCCTACTCAGAATATGTAAATGAATGACAATTTTGGAAGTAAAGAGGTGAACAGGGGAAAAAAAAGTGCCCTTAAAACAAAGAGAAGAAAAACCAGCATTGGCTAAGCTGAAGAAAGAAGACACTAGGAAATAGAGAATATCAACTGAGGCTACTTTATAATTTTGCTTGAGGTCCAGTGTGTACCTTTAAGTGGGCAGAAAACAATAGAATCAACAATCTTCAGGCGTATTTTTACCCTGTGTCTATAAATGTAGTTTAAACTCTACTTTTCATAATTACTTTTTTTCTTCATTTGACATTCTGTATTTGCCATTATTTTTATTTTTAACCTTTATTTTGGAAAATTTCAAACATACATAATTGGAGACAAAACAATACAATGAACCTAATAACTATAAGCTCCAACAATCAGCAACACATGGAAATCTTGTTTCATATTCCTATATGCTTTCTGTCCTATATAACTTTGAAGCAAACCCTATATATATTTCAGTGGATACACCTAAAAGACAAAGACTCTCTTTAAACAAAATGCAGTTAGCAAAAAATATGTAACCAAAATATTGTTAGCACATGTAACAAAATACAATAATTCCTAATATCATCAAATATCTAGCTGCTCAAATTTCCAGTTGTATTAAAAGTTTTTTAAAAAACGTATCTTCTATATTGGTTCTTGAGGTACTTAAATTTTTATATTTGCTCTGAATTAAGTGGGAAGAAAAGTGGCAGAGATTATGACATAGACCCTTGGTTATTCTGAACATCTTCATAAGTTGTTTCTTGATTATATGAAATTTAATTAAACACTGGTAAATCTATTAATATCCCACGTCTTGGAAAAGGAATCTTGAATATCATAAAGTTGTCAAACATTCCAAAACTAATTTGTACACTTAATAGAATTCTAATCAAAATACAACACAGCCATGTTTTCAGGCCAGGCCTGGCTTGGTCATCCTCCACAAGGAACTGGCCTGGGAGCTCCAGGGAACCTGGGCTCACAGCACAGGGCAATGGGACGAACCAGCCATTTCCAACTCATGTTCTACAACAATTTTTAAAACATCCAATACCTGACAATTTAGTCAGAGGCACTGACCTCTTTTCTCTTAGACGATCAAATGGAAGAATGACAACAGCCAACACAATAATACCCATCTGGTGTGAATGAATCAAAATTATACCTGTTTTTTTGTAGGATTGTTAAAATTTATTTTTTGGTGTGCCACAGAATTTTAATAATTAGTTTACACGTGCCATGATATGAAAAGAGCTGAACCATCACTAGCAAAAACCCATGGAGTTCTGCAAGGGATGGGGAGGCCATGTGTCTGGCAGTAACTGGCTGTCCAGGGTGAATAGGTTGCTGGCAAAGGTCAACAGCAACCTGATGTTTGTACTACTATTTATTTTTGTGAAGAAGCAAATAATGTGTTTTTCAATGAAATCTTGAAGAAGACCTCATGTCCCTCTGGGACACATGCCGCCAAAGACTTGAAAGAGGAGACTGACATTCAACTATTTAGGCTTCAGTCTATGAAGTATAAGCCCTAGCTCCTCGCAGAGGATGGTGCAAGACTGCTACAGCTGGAAATCAGAGTACAACTACCTGTATAGGAGGAAACCTCTGGATGCCGTCCATGTCAGGATCCCATTTCAAGGTGAAAGCTGGCAACCCCATTCCTCAATAAGCAAGAATTCATGATCTTACCTACTCGAGATCTTGGAAACACTAGTACCTTTGCAAGGGCGTGCACAAGGCCCTGGCTGACATCCTGCTTCATGGCTCCCTATGGGACACGGGTCTGTGGGCAGAGTACCTGCACTATGAGGAGGCACTGACTGAGCTGGCCACAGTGATCAAAGCACAGAGTGGGAACTCCCGGCAACACCACCAGTCAGCAGCTGAAGGCCTAACGCAGTCTCCTGAAGTCTCCCCAGCAGCCACCAGGTGACATACCTCCCCTCCAGTCAAAAGAGCAAACTAGCCAAGCACTTCCTCAAACGGAAGAGGTTTATGGACAACTGTAACGCACTGCGGAGTACGCTGTCTCGCTGAAGACAGAGCCAGTCAGACTGCAGTGTGCTTGCCAGGCAGCCCCAGGTCATCCAGCTCAGCAGGTCCAGATGGAACCAGCCAAAGCCCCAAGGAGCCCAAAACTCTCAGAGGATCAGTCCCCGCCCCTTTCTTATGGAGAGGTTCAGAACATCTGCTAAATATTTTCCCCTCGTAGCACTTTTTTCTGGAGTTGCAGTCAGATGTTATTCTTAATGTTCTGTCAATGCTTCTTTAAAAATACTCACTTGGCTTTCAACAGAGTTTACCTTCCCTGCTACAAGCTATTTAATCCCAAAGGTGAAAGCTGGGGTGTAGGGATTTGGTATCTTTCCCATCTTCCCTTTGTATATGGTTGAAAGGGAATAATTTGGGACATCTCAGAGTTGATTGGTGGGAAAGACGGACAGGACTCGTTGAAGAGGTTAGGTGAGGTGGTGGGCTCCAGGTAAACCACGATGTCAAAACATGGACGC